TGCTCAAGTAATTGTTCTAAATTCCCGGCAAACTGTAGTGGTGGTGGTGGTGGTGGTGGTGGTAGTAGTAGTAGTAGTCGTGGTCCTCGTTGTCGTCGTCATCGTCGTCGTAGTTGTGGTAGTCGTCGTCGTCGGAGTAGGAGTAGCAGTAGGAGTAGGAGTAGTAATTCCAGTAGTTCTAGTGCTTCTAGCGTCGTTTGATTTCGATTTTGAAGTACGGTCTAGTTCAGGGTCTCAGGGTTTAGGAATAGGGTTGGACGTATCTCAGTTTACGGTCTCTAGGCTAGGATCCTAGATGCAAGAGATTTGAAGCATCAGCAAAGAAGCAAAGAAGCAAAGCGCAGCACTTCCCAAAAATGTGGTCGAGTTTTCCAACGCCTGACTGAAGTAACAGAATCAGAAGCCTATGAAGCCATAGCGGCATTGCTTATCATCTTCCGTTGCGCCAGAGGTTCGGCGCATCTGTGGAGACAGAAAGCGTGGACCTCTTCATCAGTCATTCTTGGAGTGCAGGTCGTCAGGGCTTCGAGTGGAAGGTTTATACAGTCATGAACCCACCAGGGTGGGGGTTCAGGGTTTAGGGTTTAGGGTTCAGCAGCTCCGGATCGAGGAGTTTTAAGGTTAAGTTACTTCACGGTGTCGACATAACACCCACCCACCCCTGAATCCCATAACATTGGCAAAAAGAAAGTTCGTTCTTTTAACACCAAAGATCTACATTCACACAGCCTATCATAACACTTCGTCGCACCCTCGCTTTGATCAAAAGTGATTAGAACCCCCACGAGTGCTTGCGATCATCCCGCCGGCGAGCTGCAATTGTTTGTGAGTTTTGATCAACAGTCGGTGAGCTGCAATCTTTCGCGGGTTTTGATCAAAACATGATCAAACCCACGAAAAGTGATCAGGACTCACGAATGATGTGCAGCTTTCCGGCCAGCGAGCTGCAATCTTTCGCGGGTGTTGATCAAAAAGTGATCAAAACCCACGAAAAGTGATCAGGACTCGCGAAACTGTGCAGCTGTCCGGCCGGCGAGCTGCTATCTTTCGCGGGTTTTGATCAAAAAGTGATCAAAACCGACGAAAGTCATTAAGGTTTAAATACCATATGAGAGAGAGTGTTTAGGGACCCAAACGCCCTAAAGCTTGAACCTTTATTGCCTAAACTCAACGCAAATGGCGCCCTATGACCCCCTAGCCGCAAGCTCAGCACCCTGAACTCCGAGCCGTTTTACCGATGGCCTGATTACGGAGCCCTGAATCTGCCAGGACCCCCAAGTCCCCTTCAATAGAGCGGGTATTTAGGGGGGCGCAGGGTCTAGGTATACCCCGCAAGAAGAGGATCCATGTCAAGACCCCTTTACAGAACCGGCGTAGCTCACCCTGCCCTGCCTTAAACCCAATGCCCTTGACACCCCAAACCTTTAAAGCCTAAGCCTTTATGTAGTGGTACACAGGTGCCTACATAAAGATTGTGGTTTCCTGATGAGCTTGAGGGTCTTTTGAGTTTCAAAGCCATAAGGCACCAAAATCCTGTTAGAACATCTAGGGTTTAAGGAACAGTAGGGTGTAGGGTTTAGGGTATTGTAGGGTTTAGGGTTTAGGGTTGAGCAGCGTTGTGTTTTGTCTCTGTCTGCGCTATGCAGTGAGGTCTCGTATTCATGTGCTTGCGTAGCGCTGCGTAGCCATATTCATTGGGGAGCCTAGTCTCGCGTAGGGTTTTCTGGAGACACGATCCGCGCAGGCGACCGCGCACATCAGCTAGCGGAATTGAAAACGATCGCCAAATCGTTGAAAATCCCGCAGCCACCAAATGGATGCAGGGCAGTCCCGTGTAGTCAGCCGTGACACAAGAACCACCAAACCACAAAACACAAAGAATGCTCGGCTAGGCGTTGTGAACCCAAGTCCGGAAAAGCCGAGCTACTTCAGCCGCAGGTCGGTGGGAGAAGTTCCTAGCGCTCTGCTTGTCACTCGGCGTTTAGTCAGCAGGCTACAGGTGTTCATTCGCCGCAAGTCCGCTTGCTTCGCTTCTCTGACCGGCATGTGCTTGTAGTCATAGTCCCCATATCATACAGAATTCAAAGCCCTGTTCCAATTTCTGAGCTTCCTACACATGGGCTTAGGATTGCAATTTGCTGCTGCAGCTCCTGCAGGGGTCGGAATAGCTAGTGAGTTGTGTACCCGTATGCGCAAGAAAACCCCAGAACCCTGTTCTGTTTATTCAGGTCCCCCTAAACCCTAAACCCTAAGCCCCAAACCCTATATGGGGGTTTTCCCTTCAGAGCTTCGTCTCTCCCCAAGCCATTTTGGCTAAGTCCTGGGCCCTAAAACCTAAAACCCTAAAGACCAAGACCTCAGACCTGAAACCCGATAAATGTTGCAATGGAGGACTTTGGCCTCCAAGCATCTATAAGGATTTAGGTTGGGTTTTGGGTTTAGAGTTTTGGCTTTAAGGAGACCGCCCCTTATTCTGGCACTCATTGGTTTAGGGTTTAAAGTTTTAGTTTTAGGATTTCGGTTTTCGGCTTGAGGATGGTCGGGTTTAGGGTTAGAGGTTGTGCGGCTTCAGGTTCCTAAGGCTCAGGGTTTACGTTTGCGGTTTAGGGGTTTAGGGGTTTAGGGGTTTAGTGTTTAGGGTTTAGGGGTTTGGGGTTTATAGGGTTAGGGTTAAGGTTTAGGGTAATTAAGGTACAAGGTTAAGGTTGTGATGGGGTCGGCTTCTGGTTTATGGTTAAGGCTTCAGGGTCTAAGGTTAATGTGAGGGTTGTAATAAAAAACCCCTCCCCCCTGATTTTGTTTTGCGCGGGGGGTTTTGGGGCAGGGTTTGGGTTGGGGGTTGCAATAATAAACCTCTGGCCGTGTCTGGGGTTCATGGTAGCCCAGGGATCCGGAGTCCCTAGCTTCAGGCCAAAGCCTGCAGCCGTCCAACAGCAAAGCCTCTGTCTCGAGGCCCATTAGCTCTTGCTTTCTAAGTAGCCTTCAGAAGAAAGCCTTGCTTCCGGGACCCCCCGCCGGCGGGAGTTTATTATTGTCACCCCATTTATTATTGCGATCCGCGCATGGCTCCTAAGGGATACCCTTGCCGGCTTTGTGAAATGGCTCCGTTAATATAAAAGTTTAGTAAGGCAGAGGCCTCAAGAATAGCTGCTGCAGTTCCTGGAATCGGGAGTCCCTGGCTTCAGGCCAAAGCCTGCAGCCCTCGAACAGCAAAGCCTCTGTCTCGAGGCCCATTAGCTTTTGCTTTCTAAGTAACCTTCAGCTGAAAGCCTTGCTTCCGGGACCCCCCGCCGGCGGGAGTTTATGATGGTCACCCCATTTATTATTGCGATCCGCGCATGGCTCCTAAGGGATACCCTTGCCGGCTTTGTGAAATGGCTCCGTTAATATAAAATTTTAGTAAGGCAGAGGCCTCAAGAATAGCTGCTGCAGTTCCTGGAATCGGGAGTCCCTGGCTTCAGGCCAAAGCCTGCAGCCCTCAAACAGCAAAGCCTCTGTCTCGAGGCCCATTAGCTAGTGAAATGTCTGAGGAACTGCAGTCTGCCAGCCTCGGGTCAGGCGCTATAATTTTCGGGATTTCGGCCCCGGAATGTTTTTATTGCCACCCCTTTATGATTACCATCAACCTTCCAACATCATTTGTTTGGCCGGATCTGGGCTGATCTGGGTCCGCCTTCTAAACTCCTCTTCCGCCTGAAAAGTCTAGGCCAGGGAATTTTTATTGACACCCCATTTATTAGTGGCACACTCACATTATGGGTTTGTAGCAGTGTAGCGTTTAGGCTGGAAGGTTGTAAGGGTCAGGGTTTCAGGGTTTAGAGAGCCGAGGTATCTGAACCTGCACATGGCTGTCGCGTGTTGCATGATCACCTGGATCTTGGTGGTGCTACTCATGATCTCCTTGTATGGTGTATTCGGTCTTGGGGGAAGTCGCCTTCTGCTCCCCTGCTTTGTGTATCTACCCATGGTCAGCTTCTTCATTGCTTTCTTCTTTGGACAGCAGCTCTCTTTTGGGCTGTGGTCTCCATCCATTTGGATAGACAGGCTGTGTATCCATCAGACGGATCTGGACTTGAAAGCCGAACAAATCAAGTCCGTGCCCACCTTCGTTGCACGTTCTTCCCGCATGCTCGTCCTTTGTGACGGGTCCTATTTTGAACGGTTGCTCAGCTCTGAAGTATTGTGTTTTTGCTTAGTTTGTTGACAGCGATCTACAACAGAAAGCTTTCTCTCGCACAGGTTGTGGTGCAACCTAGAGCTGGCCACTTTTGCACGGCATGGAGGCGTGGATAAGGTTGACGTGTTGCCACTTTGGCTTGCTCCCTGGCTGCTCTGCAGCATTTTGCTGGAGCTTCTCAGTGCCACCATGTGGGACGTTTTGCAGCTGGCGTTCCCCAATTGGAGTGCCGCCTGGTTAACAAACATCATGGGGTTCGCTGCGCCTCTTCTCGGAGACAACCCGATCATGCTGAAGCTGGGCTCTCGCTTTAGACGGTTTTGGCCGTGGTTTCGTTGCAGGAGAACAAGACACCCTGCCTCTCCATGGGGTATTCCATACCCAACTAAGGAAATTTGTTGCTTTTCTGATTATCTGGATGATCTCATCACTGACCACGCTCCCGGCTTCCATACCCAGCGCCTGGGCCGACTTATCCCCACAACCCGAAACCTGAACTGGCGTACACAGGGGCTGCACTATGAATCTCGTCGTTCGAAAGTACACGTTCGGAGGCCCCAAACGCAAACGTTTCGTATCAGCAAATCATGTGTGTGTGAGCGAGAGAGAGCACCCAGGTGATCCAGACACCCTCAAGCCCAACCGCAAAAAACACCCAACAGCCAGCCTAAATCCGAATCCAGAAAGTTTCGTTGCTTCCCATCGAGGGCTTCGGTTTGAGGGTTTTCGGATGCTATCGGTTGTGTTGCTTTGGTATCTTTGTGGGTGTTGTGAGAATTTGTCAGTTCGGGCTACAACGATTTAAGACATGTAGGCTGTAGGGCTTGGGATTCATCAGGCTTCTTCTCCTTCCGCATGAAGATTCGCCATCACCAGATTATCCTGGACGGGAGGGGAGGAGGGTTTGGGGCTTGGGGATGGGTGTTCAGATTACCTCAGTGTCAGTGCTAGCAGCACACTCGATGATGGCAGTACTGGAAGTGGATTGATAGCGGTGGCGCCATCGTTTGTCGGAGCAACGCTGATGAAAATTGTATTGATGCTGCTGATGATGACAAATCAGGCGGTGATTGCGTGCGTGTGTGTGTGTCTTATGACGGCCGTGACAAGGGGTTATGGTGGTTTTGATTGTGATGATGCTTGACGATGACGACGATGACGTTCCTGATTGGGATGATGATGATGATGATCGCAAAGGTGGTGGCGGTGGGCCAGCGGTGATGTTGATGGCGATGATGACCAGAACAGACGAGGACATACCAGGACAATCACAAGGATGGAAGGCAAGCAAGAAGCCCATGATGGTCATGGCGGCGTTCGTGCTGCTGCTGCTGCGACTTCTACTGGTGACGATGACGATGATGATGATGATGATGCTGATGATGATGATGATGATGATTATGATCATGATCATGATGATGGCGACGCGACTGTGATGGTAATACCAATCAGAATGGAAAGTCTGACGCTAGTTACGGCAGTTGTTTAGGGCTTTCAGTCTTGGAATACATTGCCTCGAGGACAGAGTGCTGTTAAACTAACCTGAAGACCTGCAAGTCTCAAGTTGGAAGCCTATCCCGAAGCCCAACAGATGCGAAATAAGGCTCGGGAGAGGCAGGAAGAGGTTGGAAGCCGGGCCTTGGCCGGGGTAGAAAAGGGTTCCTTTGAAGGGTTCCCGAGAGTTCCGCGAAAGTCTGGAACAGGCCGGGACAGAGTGGAGAGGCACGAAGACGCCACGGGTTGCCCAATTCATCAGACGCTTTTTTACAATCAGAATGAACGCAGAGCCACCCAAAAAAGCCAACAGAAAAGCCACTCAGACCCGGCTTGATTCGTA